AAGGCGCCCCGCCCGCACCACAGGCCGGCTTCTGCGGGCCGTTAGGGCCGCCCTCCGGACAGAAGCAGCGACTGCCCTGGAAGTCCATCTCCAGACTTGCCGGACCCTCCCCGCCGCAGACACCACACAAGACGTCTTCCCACCACTACCCGTCACCCCAGCGGTACCCAGCAACCTGGCCGAGCGGCCCAACATGCTGCTCAGGCTCCCGGTGCCCCCCAGCAGCAATACGGGCTGCCCTTTTGGCACCCTGCCCCACAAGGGCCTCTATGTGTGGGTGGTGCGCACCTGGAACACCCAGGTGCTCTCTGGCCGCCCTGACACCGTGTGGCGGTGGCGCCTGGCGCGGCCCAGGACCCCAGCGTGGCGCACACTGTATAAGGCGCCCACCGCCAAGAAGACCGGTGACCTGCAGTGGCGACTTGTGCATGGCATCCTAGCCACCGGCACCTTTGTGTGTCACCTGGACTCAGCGGCCTCAGTGGCCTGCCCCTTCTGCCCGGGGGTGCTGGACGAGGACATTTTCCATGCTTTCCTCGACTGCCCCCAGCTGCAGCCTCTCTTTGCTGCCCTGGGCACACTGCTTCGGGCGCTGGGCCGGGACTTCTCAGAGGACGTCTACATCTACTCCTTCCCATACCGGGCGGCCGAGTGGGCCACGGTCAGCCTGGCCAACTTCCTGCTGGGCCAGGCCAAGATGGCCACCCTGAAGAGCCGGCGAAACTGGCTCACCGGCACTGGGATGGTCGATGCCCTTCAGCTCTTCCGCCTGCTGGTGCGGGCCCGCCTCTCGCTCGAGTTCGAGCACACTGTGCTCCGGTGGATGGTGCCCACCTTTGAGGAACGCTGGGCCCTTGAGGGGGCACTGTGCCGAGTCGAGGCAGGACGCCTGATCCTTGCACTGTGACGCCACCGGCTACTCAAGCTGCAGAGACGCGTCCAGCGGGCTGAGGCCTTGGACTTTGTTAATGCGGGTCGACCCCTGAGGCCTCCATGAGTGTCCCTGCTGGCAGAACTGTAAATATGTAAATAGTCCTAATGCTCGTTGTGGGGTTTTTTGTGTGTTGTTTTTTTTTAGTCTAGAGTGTACGGGCAGGCCTTGCAGGCCGTGAACCCAGGACCATGTCCGTGAGGCCCAGGTGTTCGGGCCAACCTGTACATACTCTCTACTGGCCCCGATTTGTCACCCTCCCTGGAATAAACGCCTCTTAAAAGTCAAAAGTCTTTCTTTCTTTCTTTCTTTCTTAACTGATTTAATTTGTTTACTATAATGTTTTTTGTAATGATATATAATCATGGCCTTTAAAAAAAATTAAAGAGTTGAAATAAAGATTTGGCATGTTTTCTTTTATAGGCGGAATAGCGTGGGAGTTCACATGGTTTGGGGGTGTGGGAGAGGATGCATGAAGTTTGCTGTGAAGATTCCTGCCTACCACAATGGAGTCCCCACAATGATGATAGCTGGGAGTGCTGGGTGGGGGCTGGGGGAATGCAAGGGGCAGAGTGCCTACTTGGGTGGGTGGGGGAAGCTGTGCAGCACTGGCATAGAGCGAGGAACGTGGCAGGACAGAGGGGGGCTGTGTGGTGTGGGAACGGGGGATGCATGGTCTGGGAGTGCAGTAGGGGTGTGTGGATAAATGGGTGGGGCTTGGGCAATGGCTGTAGGCATGCATGGGGGTAGAGCAGTGGTAGAGCATGCCTGGAGAGTCCCCTGCAGCAGTCCAGGGGTTACTGGTTTGGCGGCGCCCCCTGCAGTAATCAAGTAGCTAAGAAAGCAGTGGGGTGGATTGGTATGCGGCTCCCCCTGATGGAATTTAGTGAGAATTGCGCACCAGGCTTAATTGATTGTAAAGGCTATTACATGCAGACATTGATGCAATGTTTTAAAGTAAACAATTTTTAAATTTAATAAACCTATTTAATTTAATGAGGATTAAACCCCATTACATCTATAAATACCCATGTATCTCACAAACAAATATCTCTGTCACTGCGGAATCTCTTGTGTCTTGACACATGTAGGTGTCAGAATTTTGACCTCTGTAATATAAGTATCCATTTCTTCTTCTGCTTTGTAGGTTAAAAAATAGTATCTCTCTATAAGAATCCACATTCCTACTTGGTCACAATAACCAATCAGCTGTTCCTGTGTCACAGGCACCTCTCTTTCACAAGCATTTCATTCCTTGCACTTTTTCCCTCTGCAGTATACTAAGAAACCTGTGCCTTCATTTTTTTCACTTTGGTTCTATTGCTTTCATGCCTGTACAGAGCTTTTTGCCTGAAAACCCAGTATTCCTTATGGTTTGAGACCTTCAATATTGTGTTGTAAAGCTCTAGATGTTGCTTTATTTTCATGCTAATCATGTTATGTTCCTTGCTGTAGTTCTCACTAGACTGACTCCTTCCAAGGGAAGTGGTGCTGGCTCCTACTCTGGGGTTCTTTAAGAAGCGGCTCGATGCCTACATGGCTGGGGTCACTTGAGCCCAGTTTCTCTCCTGCCCAGGCAGGGGGTTGGACTTGAAGATCTACAAGGTCCCTTCCGACCCTACTTCTATGATTCTATGACTCCTGATTCTTGTACCACCTGCTGGGTAATATTATGAAACAAGTCCATGTTTCTGAAAGTAAAATTGCTCTTTTCAGAGCTGTATACAAAAATCGTGCAACTACAGCTAGTATCCTAGTTATACTTAAACAGACTTTCTAGGGCAGTCTCTAGTCCCTTCCTTCCTGCTACTTGCTCTTCTATCCAATTTCTATTAGGTTGCTACAGAAACCAAGCTTGAAGAAAAATTCATCATAATCAATGGAAGTTTCACAAATTTATGTGTAAATGAACAAATTAGATTACAATGGGAATACAACCATAACTGACATTGTTCCTATACAACTGAGTTGTAATTATGTAACAGTTGAATTTACCATCTAATTTGCTCTACTTTTGTAACATGCTTGCTGATTTCTTTGCTTTGAACAGATGATGAACCAGATGATGGTGCCCAATTTTACTTCATAATTTTGGGTTTCTGCTATCCTCAGCTATTACCTGTGTTAACTGAGCTTGGGGTCAATATTTCAAGTGTAATTAAGATTTCTTCAGAGAATTATGGATCATTGCAAACATACTTGGAAGCAGCAACACTGCAAGAAGAACCATTACTTCCACCTGAAGGTAGGCTGCTAATAGGAAAAAATGTCATTATTAAATACAGTTTTAAAATTTAATTTGTTTTTTTCACGTTTCATGCAGCATCTGATAACGTATGTTCTCTTTTTTAAAAAGTTACAAATAGTTATGTCTACAGCAGAAGGTGACCTCAGTGTATATGTTACCCTTAGTCAAGCTATTTGTTCTTTGAATTTTGTAGCCGCAAGTGCTGATAGCTACTGTATTTACCTGAATCCAAGACTACTTCCAATGTTAAGGTCACTCCCTGTGACAGGGGGCCTCCTTGGGGCCGAACTCCGTGGCCCGCCCCCTGTCTTGTGGGCAACCGCCCGCCTATCTCGCCCGCCATGCCTTTGATGTTAATGTATTCAATCAAGATGTCAATTAAATGGGAGGCTGCCCATTTAGTGCCCCGATGCCAGGGGCGCTCTCTGCGGCTCCGTTCCTCCCCAATACCGCAGCCCAAGCCTCGCAGATGGCATCTTGGTGTTCACACTATCACCGGCCCCACACTGGGCCCCAGAATCATCCATATAGGACCCCTCTATGATCCTCTCCTACCAGGCGGCCTCTCCGCCTTCATCCAGGCTACCTAGCCCCCCCGAAGCTATGTTCCCCTCTCGGGTGTGGTCCCCCCAGGACCTTCGGCCACTTGCCCTGGCCCACCTCCAGGCCAGTCGGGACCCCAGGCCCCCGGCCCGCTGGCGCCTTTTGACTCTCATAGTCCTGGCCCCAGCTTGGGCCAGTTGAGGGTACTCTCCCCTTCGGGTTGGGTGTCTCTAGCCCCTCACTCTCTATCCTCGGGCCTCACCGTGCCACTACTCCCTTTCTCCTAGGGGCAACCGCAGCACCACGCCCTGTACTCAATCACACTCTCGGGGTCCGCCCTCTCTGGGCCCCTCACAACACTGGCCCTCTGGGCCCCCCAACAAACACAAGGGTAACCCACCCGGTGGTGGTGGGAGCTAGGGATTAAGGCGCCCTGACCCACCTTTCACCAGGGTGGTAACTGGCCTGGCATTTCCTGGGGGCTCCCGCGCCACTGAGAGCCCCACCAGGCCACCCACTCCCAGCAGGGTGCAGTTTCAGGTCATTCCCAGGACCAGGAGCCCCCTTACCTCCGGGTAGTTCTCAGCAGCCCTCTGGCCAGGCGATGTTGCTGCCTGCCTCCAGAAGCTAAACTGCACTGTTTATATAGGCAGCTCTTGCCTCTAAAGTGGCTGCCCTCGTCAGGCACCTGGTGGCTGCCAGCTCCAGGCCATTAAAGTGGCAGGCACACCCAGTGAACTGCCACACCCCCCAATACTTAGATTGTAAACATGGAAAATTTACATTATAACTGTGGCAGGGCACCGTTGGTGCCTGTCACTTTAAGGGCTGAGCCAATCAGCCAGCAGGTGCTTGATTGTGGTGGCCATTTTAGATCTCTGGCCACCTATATAAACAGAGCAGTTTGCTGCTGCCAGGCCAGGTAGTAACATCACCTGGCTGCAAGGCTGAATGCAACATCCTGGAGATAAGGGCAGGAGGTTAAGGGGATAGTTTGGAGGCTCCTGGGTACAACCTAAAATTACACCCTGCCGGGAGATGGGGCTCCCAGTGGCGTGGGAGCCTCCAGGAAATACCAGGTTAGTTACCACCCCAGTGAAAGGCAGGTCGGGGTGCCTTAATAACTCCAGCTTCCACAACCAGGTGGGTTACCTCATAGTAGGGCCAAGAAGGCAGACCCAGGGTAGAGAGTGGGCTAGAGGCTCAGAGGCCTGACTCAAAACACCCTTGACTGGTCAATGCTGGGGCCAGGACTGGAAAGATCAAAAGGGCCAGGGGCCCACCGCAAGAGACCCCCAGAGCTAAGGGTCTGGGGTTTCTGACTGGCCTTGGAGGTGAGGCCAGGGCTTGTGTGGCCGAAGGTCCCAGAGGGACCATGCCCGAGAAGGGGAAGAGTTCAGGGAGCTAGGCAGCCCAGAATGAGGGTGGAGTAGACAGCCTGATTGGAGGGATCTGGTTGTGGTCCGGATTGGAGGATTCTGGGGCCCAGTGTGGGGCCAGTGATGTTAAGAACTGTGAATGTCATCTGCGAGGCTTGGGCTGTGGTGTAGGGGAGGAACGGAGCCACAGATAGCACCCCCTGGCATCAGGGCAAGAATGGGCAGCCTTCCGCCTAATTAACAACATAAATATGCATCATCAAAGCATGGCAGGTGAGGAGGCAGGTGGTTGGCCCAGAAACAGGTGGGCAGGCCAATGACAGATTGGCCCTGAGAAAGCCCCCTCTTACAATAATTAAGTTATATAATTACGTTATTAAGTTAAATAAGTTATAATTTTCCATTTATAGAATTTAATATGATCCTCCAATAATTAAATTCCACCCCCTATCACTGTGGCAGGGGAAGCAGCAGCAATGGACAGTGGTAGGGGAGCAGATGGCAGGGGAGTCAAGTGACCTGAATGCTGCCCTCTTTCCCCGCCCCCCACCTGTTCTCCCCACCATTTGCACCCCTCTTCCCCCAACTTGTATGCCCTGGTGCCTATCCTCTCCCCCTCACCACAGTGCCTACACTCCACGGCATCTGCCCCCTCTCCACCAAGACTTGGTTCTCTTGCAGACTGCTCCCTCTGCTGTGCTTGTGCCTCCCTCCTGCCCACACACACACATGCACACACACCTTGCCCTCTGCCACTTGCTGGCTCCAGCCCCTGCCCAGACATGCAGCAGTGGTTGTGGCAGCAGCAGCTCCAGAGCTGGAGCTGCTGCCAGCACTGCTATGACATGACTCGAGCCCAAGTCAAAGCCAGAGTTGGAGCCACAGCCAGCTGCCTCCCCCCGCCCCCACTTGTATCTGAATCCAAGATCAAAGATGAGGAGCTTTTCCCCCCATATTGAATGGAGGGGGGAAACCTTGTCTTGGGTATGAATAAATATGATAATCTGTCTTCTAGTTCACATAAGTTAGTCTGTGAAATCATAACTAATACAGATGGGAGATTGACTATAATATTTGCTTGGCCAATATTTATAGAAAAGATTCAGCAACATTTACTTAATTTTATTCCTCGTTCTCTTATTTCCCCCATGAACTGATAGCACTTAGACTACGTGTCAGAATTACAGATGTAATACAGGGCTAGTGTAGTTCAAACCTCCAGTTCAGAATTTTTAGTGAAAGCAAAGCAAATCCTTCAGACATATCTATGGAACCTCTTAAAATATTTATCAATTATAGGAAGATACATCATGAGCTCTTTAATAGAGATAAAATACAAGTGTCATGACCAGCTTCATTAAAACAAAATTAGATTTTTATGTTGCATTGGAGTGATGTAGTTGTGATGGTTAAGGAAATATGCAAGAGGAAATTATTTTTGTGGGAGGTATTCTTTATTGGACCAACTGCACAGTTGGAAGAGAGTTAGAAAAGCTTTCAGATACAAGATAATGTTCCTTGGGTTATGATTTCTCATTTTTGTTTATGAAATTTTCCTTAATTTGAAGCAGAACTCATCACATAAAGTTCATAATCTGTTCATTTGGGGATGGAGCCACCTTATTGTAAGACAGAGGCAATAGCAACTATCAGTTTGCTGGAATACTTGATTTCAGTTGATTCATCTTCCAGAAGTACATTGAGTCTGTGCAAAACAGAGAACTGTAGCTCTCTCAGTATTCCAAATCAAGGGCTTATGGAGATATTCTAAAGCATCTATCCCCTGGTTGCTACCTAGTTTGACACTGAAATCCCAGTCCTAGGAAGTCCATAGTGTAACTTGAGGTTTTGTGACGCATTACAATGCTAGGTTAGGTCTTTTCTTCCAATTTTTTGTACGTGGGATTACATTTTTGGTAAAATCCCAGAAGTCTTTTTAGTCTTTGCAAGCACATTCCTATCAAATAAATAAAATACGTTAAAGGCCACACAATCCAGAAAAACATAATTTTCTACTTTGTTATTTATTTTTATTACTCTTATGTAGTAGGTAGGTATTAATGTAATGTCTTCCTTCATAATGAGGCAGAGAGAGAGACCAACTAAATAGCTGCAAATAATTTTTTTTGCAACTATTTAGTTGGTCCAATAAAAGATATCACCTCTACCATGAGTTCTGAAAAACTCTTTCACGCTTTCAAAATTGTATTACCTATAATTCTCTTTTACGTGAGTAGAAAGCCATCTGCAGAATAAATCAAGATGGATTATTTTAAAGTTGTACCCAAAAGACTCTTGGGGGAAAACCTGACAGTGGCAAGATTTCCATTAACATCAGGAAGGCCAGGATTTCAACCTCTGAGTTCAGTCGAGTCAGATAATTTCTATTACCTTGTCCAGAGAGATGCATCTAATAACTTTTTCCAGTTGTATGATGTGCCTCTAAGAATATTAACCTTCCACCTCTTCTAAAATTTCTGCAGCTGTCTAAGTCTCATACTGAGCTGTCTTCTGTCACAGTGAGTAATATAGTACAGGAAAGGACCCCTTCATAATTAATGTAAGAAAGTGATCAAGCTCCATCTTAAAAACGGTGTTTAGGTTTTTGCCTTCTCTTCTGTATTTGGGAGAGATGTGCTGGCTCTGTAGTTAAGCTAATTTAATATAGAAAAAGAGGTGAGATTTTGACCCTTGCTCCAGACTCATGCTGAAAATTGCCCCCGGGCAACCCAGCTGTAAATAACCATTTATTATTTGGATTAGGGAGTCAAATGTGGCCAAAGATAATGTTATCCACATTACTCCTCCATGTGCTATAGGCCACAGAAGCTGACATGGTTTTACTGTGCTATCCCGATGGGATATTCAAGCTTAAGTAGACCCTTGATTCTCTTTGAGTGCATCTACACCAGATGTTTTACTGCACAGTAGACTAATGTAGCACTCTTGTAGACTTTGATCCGGAGCAAATTTGCTCCTGGTTAGCCACACCAGCAGGAGGCCACAGGCAATGAGAGAGTTCTCTGTCCCTAGTCCTGGTACTGCTCAGCTCCCAGCTCCCCACAGGGATGGGGT